AAAAATATTAAAAAAAAAATGTAAAAGTTATAGCCACACTTACACAAGGATCTATGGGTAATATCAATAAAAATAGCAGGATCAGGACTGGCATAGACATTCCAGTCACTCCCTTCTTTCTGCAGACTCTGGGTACATGCAGCAAACAAGGATAAATAAAAATACTTGGAAAGAGGCAAAAATAAAATTTCAACGAAACTTAAAAAGTAAAAAAAAAAAAAAATTAAAAATAAATAAATAAACCACTACATGAAAATCCCTTACCAGTAATAAAAAAAAAAGTCAGCTTAAAATATCAAAGAAAAGACATGTAATAGAGTTATTCAACAATGAGTCACTCACATTAGGCATAAACAATGTATGTTCAATCAGCAAAAAAAACATGGCGAAGGTCTACGAAGACACATGAAAATGCCCCATTTGCAGAAGTTTTCAGTGGAAATGGTTTGTTCCCACAAATATACTTGTAAAAAAACCACTATATACAAAAAAAAAATTAAAAAAAAAAATAAGCCACCACTAACTTTCACAAAAGAGAATAGTGATAGAAATACTCTCTATCCCCATACTATGTCTAGTCTACTACTACTTGCTCACTAAATAGAGCCCTGGGATTAGTTAGAACAGTGGTTCCAGACCTTTTTTAACCACAACATACTTCAATGACAGAAAAATGCTGTTCATTTCTTAATGTGTTGTGTTTTTCAGTTCCTTCCGTAGATTTCCACGATCCCACTTATTTCTGAGAGTCGCTTAGAATGGTTGTGATAATTGCTGCTGCCGTAGGACAACCCACTAGAACGGTCATTTAGGCACCCAAAACAATTCATTCTGGATTTTCTCATATCAGCTTTGCCCACTTTGTGCATGCACCATAGGAAAAGTTGTTTCTTCTCCCTGAAGAGAGACAAGCTGTGAACTGCACATGTTTGATACTTGACTCTGCCATTAGTAATACACAGCCCTGTTCTATGAGGAAAGAGATTGTGAATGGTACACTAGTGCTCACAGTTACATACTAGTCTAGGCTGAAAAAAGGGAAAAAATAAATAAATGACTAAATTCTACTGGTTCAACCTCAATACCCATTATTTTAAGCTGTTGTGGCCTTTTCCAATTATGCCACAAAAAGAGGGGGACAAAATCCTTCTTAAACCATAATGGCAATCAGATGTCACCTTGGCTCAGCAAACTGAGCACATAATTTATTCCATAAATACTCCCAGAGACCAGTGGACTTGTATTACTAGGACACATGTGCTACATATGGGCGAAGGGAAGAGTATGCTTTTTCACTCCTCTGGTCTGAACTGGATCTAAACATCAGGTAAACCCACCATACCACATGTTACACTGTGGAAGATGGCACAAATAGATTAGGACACAAAGCAGCAGCAACAACTATCATCAAGATACCTATAGGGGAATGAAGAGAGGTAACTACTAAATGTGCCCAGAGCCCTCAGTCTTGTCACACCCACTCTTGAGCAAAGGAAGGAGGGGGCTGCAAATTTTGTAAAATGGTTAGTAGAGAACAGCACAACAGTGAAAAACAGCCGAAGTAATTAAAGTCACACTTCAAGCAAACCATGGGCTGTAGTGGTTATGATGTGAAAAGTACCTTGGGCATCTTCCCAAGCGATTAGAAAAAACTTTTTGCAACGATTTGTCATCTTACTTGGTTCCATGTCACACAGAGGGTCCTCTAATGGCCGGTGAAGTGCATCTGGCTCATGCAGAACTGCAAAGGCCATACTCCAATCCTGTCGGCAATTCATTTGTTGAGTCAGCTGAGTGCTCTTAGCCAACAAATGCCCTTCTGTGCATATAACCAAGCACAGAACTGACATATGAGAGCCAAAACAAGATAGGCTGGCTAGTAACGACCAGAGGACATTTCCAGATATAGAATTACACCTCTGCAAACAAAGCGGTTCAATTTTGTATGTGCAACATACATACAGGCTCCATGCACCATTTTTAAAACACAGAGGTGGCCATGGTACATTAATGTATTTTGGATGATTTTGGTCCCAGATGAGATAGAGATAAAAAATATTTAGCAAACAAAACTATTTGAATGGCAAGGAATTAATCGGTGTACTGAATTATAGCTCTAAATTACAGTCATGCAAATATGAGAGGCAAAGTAGATGTGATCAATAAAATAAATATAAACACCACAATGTTTAGTCTTATTACAGCATATGGAAACATGCCTCTCTTACTTATGATCATAGAATAGATTTCAAACAATGAAGAACAGGAACGGCTACTAATATGCACGTCAAAAACCTGGTCAATATGCAACCAAAAACTAATGTCAGGTGACAGGAAACCACTAAAGATTCAGCAAACTAATTACAAAAGGACAATGAACGAAGGGAGGATTGTATAAGAAGCTGATGTAGCAGGAGTCAAAAGCTTGAAAGAATTCCCCATTGCTTTGTAGTTAAGTAAACCATTTTAGCACAAAACAACTTAGGCATATCCTCACTTTTCATCCCTTAAATGCCACGAGCAAAACCTTTTAAAAACTACTTTCCAAAATTGCGAATACTCAAATATTAAATGTCAAAAGATGTTTGCAACATTAAATATGGAGTAAGGAGCACAACCATCAATAGTAATAAAACAATCTTTATTAAGTGGGTATACTCTATAAAAATATCACATAACATAAAGATCCAAAATATAGGATCATATCACGCTATACAGCAATGATCAGAAAAATTCTGAATATGTATGTACGCACACCAAAAGCATCTTATATGAGTAACAGAGTCTCAATATACAAAAAATAGAGAAATGAAATAACAGTCTAATCCAACCCCACAAACAGACATAAATATACAAAGGCTCCCTTGATAAAAGGCATTTTTGCCAAAACGTTGGAGGTGTTTTTGTGACTGACTCTGTCCCTGCTTCTCACTAGGTCTGGTATGCTTATTTTTATATATTTATGTCTATGTTTGTGGGGTTGGATTAGACTTATTTAATTTCTCGATTTTTTTGTATATTGAGACTGTTATTCATATAAGAAGCTTTTGGCATACATACATATATATTCAGAATTTTTCTGATCATTGCTGTATAGCGTGATATGATCCTATATTTTGGATCTTTACGTTATGTGATATTTTTATAGAGTATACCCACTTAAAGATTGTTTTATTACTATTGATGGTTGTTCTTACTCCATTGTTATTTATATGTATTTGGGCTTTTGGGGATAAAGCCTTAAGTGAGTGAGCACAATATTGTATTTTCATAGAGCTCCACTTGGGAGCTTGCATATATTTCATAGTGAGTGTGCCTACCTTATTTAATTTTTAATTGCAACATTAAATATACCAGGGATTATTTCAATAATTACATCTACTGAAAACCTCATACAAACATTTATTTACAGTAGTGTAATCCATTAGATGTGAATGTTTGTAAGCATTTTATAACAGATAATACTTAAGCAGCTAGTAGATTTTTTTACCATGATTTTAATAATTCTGCAATATGGCAACAGATTAAATACCAGAGAAAGAATGGACTGTTATCCTGTTTTAATATTCTACTAATTTCATATACATGTAATGTTTACATGTGTAAAACACATAGGTCTATTTATTATAAATATATTGAGTCGTAAATCAAATAGCTAGTGCACAGACATTCATTTGGTTACTGAACTGAGATATTCTTTCCTGTCTGTCCCAAAATGCTTCCCTCTAAACTGAATAGTGTTGGGTCCTACTCAGGCTCAATTTATATGCTGGGAGCTATGCAGCCAAAAACACAAACAGCATTAAAAAGAAATCTACATGTCTTTTCATATAGATACATAATAGGGTCATAACATACCAGTTAGAAAAACAGCTTAATCAGTCCCCCCCTCCAAATTCTGATAGTCTGAAAATTTTCAATTTTCTAGTGATTTCCAGCAATCCATGGTTTAGCAATAGCCATGTTGTTTTGCATTATCTACAGATAAACTCGTTAGATTACAGACTGTACATGTACACCTCTAACAAAGCTTTATAGTAACAATTCTATATTTCTTCCATGTTATACATGCACAAATAAAAGATACAACTCATCATACAAAGCTCACTATTACAAAGGGATCAGTATCAGTCCTATGCTACTAGACAGGCCTACTTGACACTGAAAAGCCTGGAGGGTTTCTGATACGCTCAGCAGGGCTGCATTTTCACAGCTCATGGCTAGTGCACAAGTGGAAAGTTAGAGCTATCTATATAAATTTTTATATATATTAAAATCAAGCAGGATTGCTCTCTTAACTGTGCTCGACTCACACAAAAAAAAAAAAAAAAAACACACTACAATATTGATCAAAGCTGCAACATTGTCATATAATCCATGTATCCCACAGCCTGCATTGCCCAGCTCCATTTTACATTTTCTTAACTTTACATATATACACACACACCATGTAATCAATCTCATAACACAAATGCCATTTTATAAACATTATAACCACACTCAAAGGTCAATGTTCTTGTCAACCAAACAACCCATTGGGGTGAACATCCAAAATTGTAATAAATAAAATTGGGACCTCTTGAAATATGTCCTCAGTGTGCCCCCATTGGTATTAGCCAGGAATAGGGGGTGGTGGGTGTCTGTTTTAATTTGGGTGCATTGATGGGGCCCTGCACTGTCACCCTCTGAGTGTCCTCTCCCAGCAGAGCTGTCATGCGGAATCTGCAGCTAGCCTGCCTCTGCCTGCGATGGCTAACCTTGGAGCCTCAGAACTGGTGGTTGGTTGTTTTTTTTATGAAACTACGATTCCCATGATGCTCAGTCGGCATTCTGGATGACTGAGCATCATGGGAGATGTAGTTTAATCGGCGATATCGGGTGTCCAGGCTGTCCCTGGTCTGGCAGGGCCTGTTGCAGGGTGAGGACCGCTCGCCCGCGGCCTAGCGCTGCCCTGCTGGCTCTCTCCTTCCATCATGCCGGGGACTGGGTCTCCCCCTCCTCCCTCCCTCCCTCCCTCCAGGACCCCTCCCCGGGCCGGTCCGAGCCGGGACTTACTCTCGTTTAACACCTCCACCAGGTCCGTGCAGATCTCACACATCGTTCATACAGGGCCGCCGCTTCCTGAGCATGGATGGCGCTGAGTGCGGCTGAGTGCCAGCCGGTGTCTGTGGAGCTGCGAGGCCCGGAGACAGACGGTTAGATACACCCGGGGGGGGGCGGGGGGGCTTCCTCTGTGGTAAAACACCTCGGGGGAGAAAATAAAAAAAATTAAAACGAAAACTAGAGAGAGCCCGGCGAGTCCCCGCTCGGCACTGGTGTCTGCGGCGGCCACAAGCAGAGTCACTCACTGCCGACCCATCATCATCACCTCCACCACAGCCGCCGCCGCCATTTTGGTTGGGGATGCTCGGCTCTCGTCGGATGTTTCCGGAACCGTTCGGAATGGAAGGCTCCGCCCCCCCTCCTGATAACTCGTTGAGACGTCAGCATGAATTTTGTACCTCCGAGCCACGGGTGGCGCTGTGACGAGCGGCTGAGTGCAGCAAGCCTCTATCTCCGCTCACCTGCCTCGCTCTGTTGATGTCTCCCCTGTACTGGTGGCTGTAACGTTACTGTGTGACATAGTGTACCTTCCGGGTCTCTGTGTCTGTAGACAGCCATGGGAAGGTTCATACACGTTTGTTGCTTTTTTTTTTGTTTGTTTTTTTCCCTTAGGAAGTATTTAAGGGCTGAGCCAATTGTACAAGTTGTGATTAAAACAAAATGTAAACAAAACCTGGAATTTGCGCTATATGTTGTTATACCATACTGTAATTCACTTCTTTCATGTTAGGTGCACCCACACTTATAAATAATTTTGCTCAGGAAAAACAGGGCTTTCATTTTACATGAAATATTTCTATACGAAACATAATTTAATAAGAATAAAATCTAAAAAAAGGTATGGGAAATTTTGTTAATTTTCAAATTCTGCATGACATTTTAACTGTGAATGTCATTTACTTGGCTTTTACTGAAATAAAATACACCTATTTGTATTCAGAAATGTCTCACGAGTACAACAGTGCCACTAATGTACAGTTTTAAGGTTTTTTTTGACTTACAGGGGTCAAATGTAGGGCTTTCCCCTTTTGAATGTTTGCACATTGAAATTTGCCAGATTAGTTTGCTGGGCCTAATTAACCATATCATGGCATACCATTTGTAAAAGTAGACAACTCAGGGTATTCAAAATTTGGTATGTCCAGTCTTTTTTAGTAGCCACTTAGTAACAAAACTTGGCATTTATTTTTGTTTTTTTGCATTTTTCACAAAAAAACTGCCCTGTCACCGATGATATTATCAATATAATACATTTTACAGCTCAGTCTACCTGACTTCTGCAACATGTTGGTGGACGTCGGCTGCTGGGTATCCACGCCAAATTATAGCCCCATGTCCGCCCACGTACGTTCTGGGGTCAAAGGCTGATTTCAGCCAATCAGAAGTGTAAAAGGCTTATTTAAACACATTTTTACTTTCCCTCATTGCCCTGTCGTTGTTTCCCTAGGGGTTGTCCGAGAGTGTTTTTCTGAGCTTTTATTTCTGGTTATTGACTTTGGCTTCGTTTGACTTCCCTGTATTCTGGTATCCTTGACTTTTGGCTTTCCCTTATCGTTGTGTCTCATTCTGTGTCCCAACATCAACAAGTATTCTGACTATTCTGTGGTACGTTAAGTCTGGCCATTTTAAGGCCTGTAAGACGTTACCTGTTAGTCCTAGGTGTGATACAGTTCTACGTGCTGGATCAACTTGTAATCCTGACATTACGACAGGACCATAGATCCTGTAGAATTGTGTCAGCACATAGCAGCTTGCGAGAGAAAGCTAGAGGAGAATGACCATCGAATGGATCACTTTGACCAGGCTTTCAGTACACTTCGTACCCGAACAGCGCATCTACAGCCTGAGGTTTCTCCAACTACACCCTGTTCCAAATTATTATGCAAATTATATTTTTTTCATTTACCTAAATAATTGATGTAAATAACAGTCAGCATAATTCTTATGTTATCAACTATTAAGAGTACAATTCAAATGTTATTGAACAAACCTCTTAATGATAACAGTATTTTTTTTAAACATAAAAAACTTGCAATGCACTGTTCCAAGTTATTACGCACAGTAAGTTTCAAAACACTTTATAGGTTGTAAAGAACTGAAAATTGTTATTTGTTGTGTTTGCAGCATATTTACTGAAATCAAAAGCTATTTCAATCAAACTTATAACAACAGTTTAACTTTTTAAACATTTTAACAGGTCACGTTACATTTTAACATAGGACCCCTTATTTGATAGCAGCTTCACAAGTCTTGCATCCATTGGAATTGTGAGTATTTGGACAGTTTCTGCTTGAATTTGTTTGCAAGATGTCAGAATAGCCTCCCAGAGCTGCTGTTTGGATGTAAGCTGCCTCCCACCCTCATAGATCTTTTGCTTGAGGATGCTCCAAAGGTTCTCAATAGGATTGAGGTCAGGGGAGGATGGAGGCCACACCATGACTTTCTCTCCTTTTATCCCCATAGCAGCCATTGATGCAGAGGTATTCTTTGCAGCATGAGATGGTGCATTGTCATGTATGTAGATGATTTTATCACGGAAAGCATAGTTCTTCCTTCTGTACCAGGGAAGAAAGTGGTCAGTCAGAAACTCCACATACTTTGCAGAGGTCATCTTTACACCTTTGGGAACCTCAAAGGGGCCGACAAGCTCTCTTCACATGATTCCGGCCCAAAACATGACTCCACCACCGCCTTGCTGATATTGCAGCCTTGTTGGAACGGTGACCGTCCACCAACCATTTACTACGCCATCCATCTGGACCATCCAGGGTTGCACAGCACTCATCAATGAACAGGACTGTTTAAAAATTAGTCTTCATGTATTTTTCTGCCCAATGCAGCCGTTTCTGCTTGTGAGCATTGGTTAGTGGTGGGTGAATAGAAGGTTTATGCGCAGTTGCAAGACTCTGGAGGACTCTACACCTTGATGTCCATGGGACTCCAGAGGCACCAGCAGCTTCAAATATCTGTTTGCTGCTATGTAATGGTATTTTAGCAGCTGCTCTCTTGATCCGATGCAAGGATCTGGCAGAAATCTTCCTCAATGTGCATTTATCTGCACGAACCCGTCTGTGCTCTGAATCAGCCACAAATCTCTTAATAGTGCGATGATCACTCTTAAGTTTTCGTGAAATATCTAATGTTTTCATACCTCGTCCAAGGCTTTGAACTATTTCACTCTTTTCGGCAGCAGAGAGATCATTTTTCTTCCCCATATTGCATGAAAATGGTGCTCTGCTTAACCCCTTCACGACCTAGGACGGTTCAGGACCGTCATTGGCATTTTTGCGTTGCCGACCGATGACGGTCCTGAACCGTCCTAACGGTCTTAGTTACTTACCTGATCGCCGTCGTTCCCCCGGCGGCGATCAGCGTTGCTCCGGTTGTGGGGAGACTGCCTGCTGCCCAGACAGTCTCCCCACACTGAATTAGGACCCCTGGGGCCATGTGATCGCTTAACACAGCGATCACATGGTCACAATAGGTGTCCTAGTGTCTGCCTGCAGGCGGACTGTCTGTGCTGACAGGTAGTCTCCCTGCTAGTGTAAAATCTAAAAAATTAATAAAGTTAGTGTTAATAAAAAAATAATAATAATTATATATGTGTATATATGATATATAGACATATATTATATCTATATAATATATGTCTATATATCATATATATGATGCCATACTAAGTGTATTTTTATATTAATATGTACTTATATTAATATAAAAATATACTTATAATTAAATTACACACATATATATATATAATATATATAATAACTATATATATTGTATATATATATTATTATAAAATATAAATAATAAGTAATTTAAATGAAATTTTTTTTTAAATAATAATAAAAATTTTAAAAAAATTATATATCTATAGGAAATTTTATTCTAACTGTATTTTAAAATTAATATATATATATATTTATATCAAAATACACTTAGAATGAATTTGTATATATATCTATGTATATATAAATAAAAATAATACAAAATATACATATGTCCATATACAAAATTACATAAATAATTATATAAATATACACGTAGACTTCAAATATATAAATATGCATATATATTTAAATTCTATGTGCGTATTTATGTCATATTTTTACATAATTCAGTAATTTTATTGATTGCAATTTGAGGGACCTGCCTGCCAACCCAGGCCGAAATTCCAGAGAATTTAATTTGTTAGCACTGTATTTTACCCTGTAACGTTCTACGACACCCTAAAACCTGTACATGGGGGGTACTGTTTTACTCGGGAGACTTCGCTGAACACAAATATTAGTGATTCAAAACAGTAAAACATATCAAAGTGATGATATTGTCAGTGAAAGTTACTTTTTTTGCATTTTTCACACACAAACAGCACTTTTACTGATGATATAATTGTTGTGATACGTTTTCCAGTTTTTAAACACTAATATTTGTGTTCAGCGATGTCTCCCCGAGTAAAACAGTACCCCCCATGTACAGGTTTTATAGCATTTTTGAAAGTTACAAGGTCAAATATATGGGTCAAATATTTTACATTGAAAATGGCCAGGTTGGTTACGTTGCCTTTGAGAGCGTATGGTAGCCCAGGAATGAGAATTACCCCCATGATGGCATACCATTTGCAAAAGAAGACAACCCAAGGTATTGCAAATGGGGTATGTCCAGTCTTTTTTAGTAACCACTTGGTCACAAACACTGGCCAAAATTAGCGTTCAATTTAGTTTTTTTACTTTTTCACACACAAACAAATATGAATGCTTACTTTGGCCAGTGTTTTCGACTAAGTGGCTACTAAAAAAGACTGGACATACCCCATATTGAATACCCTGGGTTGTCTACTTTAAAAAAAATATGTACATGTGGGTGTTATTCAGAGATTTATGACAGATAATAGTGTTACAATGTCACTATTGATAAATTTAAAAAATGTATGTTTTGAAACTGCAATATCCTACTTGTACCTATAGCCCTATAACATGCAAAAAAAAGCAAAAAAGCACGTAAACACTAGGTATTTTTAAACTCAGGACAAAATTTTGATTCTATTTAGCAGTTTTTTTCATTCGCTTTTGTAGATGAGTAAAAGATTTTTCAAGTAAAAGTCAAAAAACATGTATTTTTTTCAATTTTTCATCATATTTTTTTATTTTTTTTACATTAAAATACATGAGATTATATAAATAATGGTATGTAAAGAAAGCCCCTTTTGTCCTGAAAAAAACAATATATAATTTGTATGGGAACAGTAAATGAGAAAGCGGAAAATTACAGCCAAACACAAACACCACAAAAGTGTAAAAATATGCCTGGTCGCAAATGTACAACATCGCAAAAACAGTCCAGTCCTTAAGGGGTTAAGAATGTGGAACACCCTCCTTTAGTAGTTTTTCCTTAAATTGGGCTCACCTGGCAATCTAATTATCACAGGTTTCTGAGATTGTTTTCAGTGATCAAAAGAGCCCTGAGACACAATGCCATCCATGAGTTAAACTGAAAAACAAAATATTTAATCTTTGTGACACTTAAATAGAAATTGCATAATAATTTGGAACAGGGTG